GCTTTTTGTCCTGCATCAGTCAACAATGCAGTACTGTGTTCACGGACTGCCGAAGCTGCCGTCACCTGCTTGAACGGTTTCCTCGAAGACGGAAGAATAGATGCAAATGTGTGATGTGATATCGCCGTATAACTCGCTGATTTGGATTATAATAATATTTTACGACGAAGTAGAAGATAATAGTTATGATAATGCAATAGAATGACCGAAGACGGAAAAGCCACGGAGAATACTTTCAGCCAGAAGTTGTTTAGTACGTGTTTGTGTTTACCGTTATTGATTTGATTTGCGCTGTTGCGACTTCCGCCTTGTCGTGCACCGGCCATTGTGTCGAAACAGAGTTTGCAGACAAGAATTCGGAAGCGGACCGGTGCACAACTCATGGTTGTTTTCATCGCTGCTACTTTTTCGGTGTCGTTTCACTACAGTGGTCTCTCGCGTACTTTTTTATACATTCATAAATCGCCTCCCTCACAAATTAGCCGGGTATTTCATAATGAGGTAGAGACTCGCGCAATAGCAGAGGGCGCTTCAATCGCAGCAGCTGAAAATGAATTTGCGCGCAACGCGTGGGATCGGCGTTGATGCTTTGAGTTCATTTCCATTTCGTTCATGACGATGATTGCGGTGTCGTCTTCTGCTTATGCAGATCCCCTGTTTACGGCTGCTATGATTCGTACCAGTGGCTATGGTAGTGAACGGGAGAGGGGGCGGGGGGCATAAAATCTGCATGTATGTTGCCTTGTTCTGTGGTTTGCTCCCTTCATCAAGTCAGTAGTCAGCTGAACCGAACCGAACCGAACCAGGGTTGCAGTAGGTGACTTATGAGGAGTAATCAAGAAATGGGTGTCGGCATGCTGACTTTTGCAGTGCAACTGTGAATGACAGCTGAAGAACGGAGTTCACGCCGAACCTCGCTCGATCCTATCGGTTCGATTGCCGTATTTGGTTTGTACTCTGGCGGCGGTTCGTACACTTTCTATCGTTTCGTAGTCCCTTCGCTGCGTTGATCCATTCTATTTCAGGTTCAAGTTGCGTGTTAAGGTCGTGACTCATAGGGGGCGCTTTTGTCGGAGGAGTTGCACTTGTTCGATACGCGTGGGAATCGGCTCGTCGCTGCTTCGTGTTCATTTCCGTTTCGTCGGTGACGAGGGCATCGTCGTCGTCGGCGTCGCTGCCGAGGTTGTCGAAGTGCGGCCGGAAGTAGTGCGCGCGCCGAGGATGTTGGCGGCGGCCGAGTGTTCTTGACGGCGCTTCAACCGACCGACCGACCGACCGGCTCTGATTTAAGAGGAAGAATGCGTTAGCCGGTTGCATTGGTCTTCGGTGTTGGCGCTTCAGTCGTTGTCAAACATTCACTTGTGTCTTTGCGCGAGGACA